ACTTGATACTTTGTCTAGCCTGTAAGGTGTAAAAAAAAAAAAAAAAAAATTTACCGATTAATCGAATCAAATCGTATCGTGGTGTATTCTTGAGTATCGAAAATAATCGAATCGTTGGGTCAGGAAATCGATACTGAATCGAATCGCCATGATGGATGTGATTTACACCCCTAGCATCAACCATTATGTTTTTTTGTTTTGGGTTTTTTTCTTTAACAGGACTTTAATCAACACTTCTAATCAGAGTCACATTCATCATAATTTCCATTAACACTGGACTGCTATGTGATGTCTACAGTATTCCTCTACGCTTGCACTCGCTATGATGTCCTGAACCATTCAGAATGAAGTCTGATAACGGTCGAATATGAAAAAAATTAATAAAAATTAAGAGGAAAACAAAAAAAATCAGAATAGAGCATGATTGTAGCCCAAATCTCATCTTTGCAGTAACTGCACAATTATTCATGTAAAGCTTCACTTATCCTGCCTAAGATTTTCATAGTTTAAAGCCTATTTTAAATTCGTTTAAAATTTGAGGAGAAATGATCAAAATAACAATAGCAGTTATTTCTGCAGTGGGCATGGATAGATGGACAGATGGATGTTTCCATAATGTTTTCCTTTCAAGACGTATCAAGACATTCTGATGAAATTCCATGGTTCTAGCTTGCATAGAAGCCGTGCTCTTAAATCATGAATGAACCTTGAATCTGTACATCCACCTCAATAATATAAGCTCAAAATTTAATCCAAATTACAGTCAACAGTAGCTTTCTCACCACATAGTCACAGAAGAGAATTAGGGCTCCCCTGCGTACGATCTCCCTGTTGACCATCGCTAGCCGGGACTCTGGCTTTTCTTCTTCACCTTCCCCAGAGGAATGTGGACTTAACAGCTTAGAGCATGAGAGGCTATGCCCCCTGAAAAGAAGGATGGAAGAAGGGACAGACAGAAAGAGGTCGGATGGAAATCATCTCTTAATAAATTTACATAAAAGAACTGCAAGAGAACTAGCATCACTTCTGTTCATTTCTAGAAAATGTATGTGAAAGAATTTTAGAAATCAAAGTATGTCTTCTAGTTTCTTCTCACCTGGGTGTCTGATGAACCTCGGTCCACCATGAATAGTTTGTGTAGTTGATAATGAGGAGAACCTGGCACCACAACAGCACCAAAGGCGGATGGGTGGTGACGAGACTCTGGAACATGCAATTGAGTCCTTCTAAAGGGTAGTAGAGACCGGTCTCCGAACCGGCCTCGCCCTTCAGGAGACGACTGGCTGCAGCTGTGATCCTGCGAAACATTCCTGTTCATACAAAAGTTAAAGCCTACTTTCTAAATTTTATTTTGGAAACTTGAGATAAATCATTTTTAAATTGCAAAATTTCTGAGTAAAAGTAGAAGAGCATGCGCTGACCGCTTTTAAAGACGTGTATGAGACACATGAGCAACGTTCCCAGCTGCTGGCAGTAAAAGGTGTGCTGCTGCTCGGTGATGTCCACTTTAATCCGTCTGCTGGAGATATCGTCCAGTAACACTCCCACTAGCTGAAGAAGGAACCTAGAGGGAGATATTGAAAAAGATATTTAATAAACTTGTATGAAATAGCCAAAGGAGTTTGTGTATTACCCCACCATACCACCCTACACACCTTGCAAAGGTTTCTTCAGGTGGAACCTTCTGTGGGTCTCCGTTGGCTTCCTGGTTGCAGCCCGTTTCAGCAGCGGGTGGGTCACTGGAGGAGGGGCTCTGCTGATGCAGGCGACGAATCGTGTAGCAGGAGAGGAGGTGTGGAGAGAGAGACAGCTCATGGACCCGGGACAGGACAATGTCCTCAGTGGACTGGGACACTAATACTCTAAGCACGGCCAGGATTCCGGAAACCCACAGCTGGACAGTAGCGACGGATGCCTAGAGGTGTTAAAAAAAGCTCTATTTACTCATTAATTACTAAACTGACTGTTGTGCAGATATTGCTAACAATGAAGTGACAGCCGCAGCATTTAACACCAGATTTCTCTGACCTAACAGATCAATAGCTTCAACTCTTTATGAAAAAGTTTTCTATGAAGTTTAGGAGAGTGATCATGCGATTCTTTTTTAAGCAGTGTTCCAGAAGCACATTCATAAGGTCAGACACTGATTTTGGACAAGAGTCTGATTTTATGATCTAGACTGATTTGCCTACCAGTTATCAGTTATAACTTAGTTTAGTGATTCCATTTTACAGTTTGGGGACAAATCTTTCTGCTGTCTCTCTGCAGCAAACATTTGAAGCCAGATTGTTTTCATAAGAACTGAAAAATCTAAACTGGTTCAATGAATAGATGTAACGTAACCTGCCAATCTGTGCTGGAGACTCATTAGCGACTGACCAATCAGTGATCAGCATCTGCCCCGAACTAAGAGCAGCAGCTTCTCTCTCTCTGGCAACATGGATCCAATCTTTCATTAGGAAGGCATAATTAATATTTTATTAAAAAGATATCTAATAAAAGGCTAGATGTAAGTGAGGAAAGTTGCTGCCTTAAAAAAACTTAAGGCAGAAAATTCTTTGCCTGAACATTTGCTGATCAGCCAAAATGCCCCATGAAAAGCTTAAGGTATGTTGCTGTTAAAACAATCTGGTTCAGTTTGGTTTACACTGACTCACTTTTCTGTGAATACGGGATGATCTTGCAGTTGTCAAACAGAGATGCTAAAAAGAAGATGTCTCCACTGTTCTTTGTGGCTTCCTTTAAAGCGCTTGTTTTGGTTTTGCACTCTTCTTTGTGGTGTAAGGTTTGGATGGCTCCTCAGCAAGTAAAATTCGTCCAATGAGGTTCTCTATACCCTGTTAATGACCAAATCTAAAGGCCAAATCATCGCTAAAGGTCTGTAGCTACTGGATCCCCTTCACCTTTTGAATTTGAGGCCAAGTTGCTGTTATTCCCAATCATTTCTGATACAAAGAAGAGTTAACGATAGAATAATGAGTAGTGAGGACATTTTAGGACTTAATTTATAACCAAGTTAGCATCTTATCAGAAAAGCATGCTGGGAATCATTATGCTCACAAAAGCAACCCCTTCTTTCAGAAATGTTTGTGAAGCTTTTTGAACTATTAGGTACAGAGGTGACTGAATGAAATAGGTAAAGAATACATCCTACAGTACAGTAAGAATAGAGGCGGAGTCTCACCATGGTGACAGGGATAGTAAACATGCTCTTGAGCAACATGTCAACAGGTCTGAGAGAGGAGGGGGCCACAGTCTCAAACAGAGTGTTTAACACACCTAACGCCTCTGGAGAGTCCAGGAGCATCTGTCACATGATAGAGAAAAGACGAACAGGGAGTTAAAGAAATAAAACAGAGTTTGGGTATTAAAAGAGATGACTGCTTTGGTCTTCAACAACCTGCTGCTTTGCAATCATAGGAAGGATAACATCTGCGATCTGCCTCGACAGTCTCTTCCACTTGTCCTCGTTTTCTTTGTGACACTGCTGCAGAACAAGGATAAACATCTCCAGCACCTAAAACAGAAGGCCCAGGCACGTTAAGGTAGGGAAACAAACTTAGGATACCCCCTAACATTAGCCTGTTGTCGCCTCCGTCCGTACCTGATGGTACTGTACAAGTCTGAGAAGCATGGACACCACCACTTCCTTCTGGGTCTCCAGCTCTTTGCCTGCATCTGCTTTGTTTGAGCCTCTCAACACAAAAAGGTCATAAACTATGGGCTGCAAGGCAGGAATGGCTGGAGGAAAATAAATAAATATATCCTGATTAGTTAACAGATTAGTTACACCGATCAAAAATACAAACAAAGAAAATTGTGGAAGTGTTCTGCTCACCATGGGTGACGGCTTTCCTGCCGCTTGCCATGATGCCGTCACACAGCTGGATGATCTTTGGGATGCTGATAATCTGCTTGGAGTGGTATCGTTCATAAGACAGCAGCACCAGGAAAAAGAAGATGTTGGGAATGATGGCTTCAGAATCCCTGCACAGGAGGACAAACGTTTATATCCACTCAAATGAAAGGTTTTGATCTTTAGGGGGGGGAGACAAACATACCTGAACTGCCCCACTTCAATATACTCAAACTGCTTTAGGACGAAGCCTATGAACACCTGCAACATAAAAAAAAAAAACATTGTTTCAGCAGGTTACACAATGTTTATAGATGGGTATATTTAAAGGAAAGGTGCATGCTTTTAACCTGATCCGAGTCCAGCAGGCAGTAGTTGACTCTGAGCTGCACCAGCTGGGCCAGCAGGTCCAGCACCTGTCTCTGCAGGGCCACAGAGGTGCTGGTGGTGTACTGCTTCAAGGCTTTGATCACGAGCGGCTCAAACAGACGGATGTGGTTGTGAATGGCATTCTGAGGAGGAGAAAAAAAACAAAAAACTGTTAAATAAGCCAATTTAGGACACACTTATGTCTGAGTAAACATCTGAAAGTTAACGTAGTGAAAAAGCAGTGGATATGCACCTTGTCTCCCCGCTGACGTGTAGCATTTGCAATGTTAGATCTCAGTTGATTGGACGCTTTTTGCATCACGTCAAACCATCTAAACATTGAGAGAAAATGTGACCGAAATGTGAAAAAAAATCAAGGGCTGTCAGTGTTTTAATAAGGAAAGTATTTAGGATTTATTCTACTCCACTCACCCCGAGGCATCCTGCTCCTGTTCGGCCTGTACCATGTTGCGGAGGCTAGCATCAGCCAGCGCCTGCGTGAAGTGTGTATACGGAGCCATGAAGCAGTAGTGGTAGAGGCCAGGGCGCAGACTGGAGGAGCCAAGGCGGAGCGCTTTGCCCTGGGAGCGGCTGGGTCCGCTCAGCACGCTTTCATATTGGGAAGCCAGGTTGGTCCCAAACAGCGTCTTCAATAACTGAACAATAAATCGGGAATAAAATCTGCCTTTCAACCAAAACATCAACCAAATGAGTCTCTTTAACCTTCATCTAGAGCATGAAATACTTCTTCAAACTGATTTTTCTCCTCTTAAACAGTGTATGGAACCATCGCACAGGGAAACCAATGTCTTTACAGGCCCTGTCGGCAGGAACCAGCCTCACTCTGTGTGGAGCAGAACCGGATGTAGCACACTGCTCAGTGCTACAGCCATGAGGACTTCCACACATAGTTAATGTAAGAAAGCCAAATTTAAACGTAGATCACAAACCTGCTGCACACAAACTGTGGCCATGGTCGGTTCTCTGGAGAAACAGGACTTCAGGTAGCCAAGGATCTCCTCTACACACTAAAAAGACAAACAGATTGTCACTTTCTGTAAATAACATTAGTCTTATGCCAGTTCTGCCTTTAGTGAAACAAAGCATAATGTTATCTTCATAAGCAGTTAAAATAAAGATAGCCGTCTAAGGCAGGGGTCGGCAACCCACAGCTCTTTAGCGACCCCTTTGCAGCTCCCTGGAGCGTTTTCAAAAACTGTTTAATATGGTGTGCAGGAGGTCAAACATGCTGTAAACCATTTGTATAATAAATAAATGTAAACAAAAAATTTAACATTTCTGTCAATAAAAATTTGCGTCATAGCCATAGAGATCAGTGGCCTGCAACACACATTTCAGCGCAACGCGGTGCCAGGCAAACAAAGGTGTTTCTCGGACCCGCAAAGAGAAAAAAGAGAAGATACCTGATGACAACAAAGGATTTCAAAGAAGAATGTACCGAATCATTTACTTTCATTGTGTGGAAGGATTGCCTGCATGTTTGCTTTGTAACGAGAAGTTGTCAAAAAATAGAAAGAGTAATTTGGAAAGGTATTTCCAGGGAAGGCAAGCTAAATTTGCAGCTGGCAACAAAGTTGGGAGTTAGAGAAAAAGCAGGATTGCAGAACTTCTGGAGCAATTAGTGGAGAGAAAAGATAGATTTAAGAAGTGGATTGCATATCCAAAATCCACTACTGCTGCTAGTTCTTTTTCTAACTTCGCTCGGTGTTTCACTATGGCAGGGGTCTGCAACCTTTCATATCCAAAGAGCCGTTTTGCCCAGAGTCCGACCAAGTAAAAGTTGTTTAGAGCCGCAAAATATACCATGACTTTTTCTAGAAAACCTTTTTTTTTTGTATAGGAAATTAGTTGTTGCCATCTCAAACAATCAACAATTCGTGTATTTTTAATGTTAAAACATATAATTTTCGAGCTAATTCATAGAAAAATGTCTCTTAAAACATATTTCTGGTTCTTTTAATCTCATTCTTTTCCATCTTATAAAAAACACTAAAGCTATTGATACCGGTATATATTATAGTAAATTATTTTGCTCTTTATATACATTTTAGCTACTATTAAGAGCCGCTGGAGAGGCTCCAAAGAGCCATATGTGGCTCTGGAGCCGCAGGTTGCAGACCCCTGCACTATGGGAATCGCCTTGGCGTGACCAACTACGGAAGCTCCAATGACATCACGTCTGTCTGAGACAGACAGGTTGAGCCGTGTCCGTGGCTCCACCCACCAGCTAGATCACGGCCAACCTACCCGCCTCAACTCATTCTCGCTTTCTTCCCGTGTGAAGACTACAACTAAGCTCCCTCAGCGCGCTCAGGTTAGCTTGGACCTGTTTAACTGTTCTCAGGCGTTCCGTAAAGGAAAACGTCGCTGAACGCAGGACCAGGACAGGCCTGTACCGTGCTGAGTAAGCGCTTCGGCAGAAGCACTTTCTGGAACACAAACGCTGGGAGCGGTGACCGCGTAAAGGCGAGCTGTCCCTGTATCTACTCCGTTTTAATTAACGGAATAGAGAGCGCTTGTGTCAGCCGAGCTAACACGTAAAGGTGGGCTTGGTTTTTGGCTAGCAGTGTATCGCTAGCATAAGAGTCCGGTTAACGTGTTGTGGCGAACGGACTTTATATCAGTAAAGAGCTAACGTGTAGCGACGAGCTCCGTGTTTAACCACAGTCATGTCTGCGGCTCCTACCCCTGCCAAAGGTTCGGAACCGAAGGCTAAAGAGGTTGTATCCCGCCCGTGTCCAGCGTCATGCGGGGCATCTATCTCTGGGCGGGACCCTCATCCGATGTGTATAGCATGTATGGGCGCTAAGCACGCTCAGGCATCGCTGGCGGACCCTCAGGGATGCCAGCACTGTGCGTCGATACCGGAAAGGATCCTGGAGAGGCGGCTTAGGGTGGCTGTCGCTAACAGCCAGGACCCTTGCTTCTCCTCACCTGCAGCCGTTGCGGCGGCGGGTGAAAACCATCCGCCGCTAGCCTCTAAGAGCTGGGCGGACGTGATGGAAGAGGAGTACCCGTCCATGCCTCCTCTGTTTGAGGGCCTTATGGACAGTGGGAAACTCGAGGCAGACATCGACGAAACGGAGGGTGACGCTAACTCCGACCTCCTGGAACTGGAGGACATGGAGGAGGAGGAGGAGGACTCGACCTTCCCGGGTCATCACTCCAGGCCTCCAAGCGGGGCAGAAGTCACCTCCCCGGGGGATAGTGATCTGTACGATGTGTGCAGACGGGCGGCTTTAAAGCTGAACATCCCCTGGCCTGCAGCGCAGAATTCAGAAGGAGCAGAACGGGACCTGTACGACGGTAAAAGGCTTCCACCAGCTTTACCACCAGCAAAGCAACTTTTACCAGCCGTTCCCGCTTGCATGAGAGAAATGAGCCGTTTCTGGTCCAGCCCATTTAAGAGTAAGCTTCCCACCAAGGGCTTCTCTAAGCTGGAGATACAGGGCATGGGTGAGCTGGGGCTGGCCGAACCCCCAGCTGTAGAGCCTTCAGTGGCTTACCACCTCCACCCTAACCGCAGATCGGTTTCAGCATCCTCAAACATCTCGCTCCCAGGTAAAATGGACCGCCTCACAGCCTCCATTTACCAAAGGATGTACAGATATGCGGGTCAGTCAGTGTGCTCACTTAACGCGGTTACACTGCTGTCTGCGTACCAAGGTGAAATCTTGGAGGAGATGGGGCGTCAACTGGACTCGGGGACACCTAACCCCAGTCTATGGGATGAGATCTGTGTGGTGAACGATCTCATCTTGCGCTCCTCTAGAGGTGCTGTTCAAGGTTGTGGTCGGGTCATGGGTCTGGCTGTCTCAGGGGAAAGAGGCCTATGGTTAAACCTGTCAGGCCTGAGTGATTCCCAGAAGGCCGAGATCATGGATGCGCCCTATGACCCGACAAAAGGTCTATTTGGCCCCTCCTTGGAGAAGATGAGGGAGACGAGTAACCTCAGAAAACAGGAGGGAGAGGCTTTTAACCTTTGTTTGCCTCGTAAGCCCAGCCAAACCCCCCCACAGGGACCCAGACCTGGGTTTGCGGCTGCTGCAGTGAGAGTACGGCAAGGTGGAGCCAAGCCTTCAAGGAGACCTGCCACACAATCCACCCAGCAAAGCAAAGCGGAGAACCCAAGACCATGGGGGAAGCACTCTTTTGCAGCGGCCGCTGCAAAAAATCGTCCATCCCACCCTGGGGAGAGCAAGAAAAAGCGGGCAACCTAACCCCACTGTTAACCATCTCCCCTCTGAAGAGAAGGTTTCCAGGCACCAGGGCAAACTTCTCTGTCCAGGATTCAGATGCTCCTGTAGTTCCCAGTTCACCAGGAGGCATGTTAAATTCTCCCTCTCACGTTCAGAGAGAAGACATTTTGGGGTGGAGGACACAGTGTCACAAAACACTCCACAGCACGTTATCAGTGTCACCAAGCACTCAGCTGTGCCCCATGTTACAAAGTGTTGTTCAGGGGGAATTAGAGAAAATAAATACAGCTTTTCTGCAGCCAGGCATGTTGCCAAGGGCAGAAAGCCCCCCACAAAAAAGAAAAAAATTAACACAAATGGCTCTCTGCCACTCCCCTCTGCGCCCAGCAGAGGGAGCTCGCGCTCTGTACAACAGAGCCGAGCGCAGCAGTGCAGAGGGGATGACGTCACTCAGCAGCGACGCTTCTCCTCTCTCTGCTCGGGCAGATCAGTGGCGCGCATGCGCTGTCTCTCCATGGGTTTTGCATACAATCTCCAAGGGTTACAGACTGCAGTTTGCCACGAGACCTCCGAGATTCAACGGAGTGCTCTCCTCGGTTGCCACCGGGGATTCAGCTCACGTCCTGAAAGACGAAATAGCATCCCTGTTAGAGAAAAAAGCGATCAGAGTTGTACCGGACGAGGAGGTTCGTCAGAGCTTCTACTCGCGCTATTTTCTCATTCCAAAGAAAGACGGCGTATCACTACGCCCCATTCTGGACCTGCGTGTGTTAAACAGACACTTACGCAGATATACATTCAGGATGCTCACACACAAAGCACTGTGCCGTTCCATCCGTCCGGGGGATTGGTTTGTAACCATCGACCTCGCGGACGCCTATTTTCACATCTCCATTTACCCCCCACACAGAAAGTTTCTCAGGTTCGCTTATCAGAGCGCAGCCTACGAGTTTCAGACCATCCCGTTCGGGCTGTCATTAGCCCCGAGGGTGTTCAGCAAGTGTGTGGAGGCGGCGCTGTCCCCTCTGAGGACGCGCGGGATCAGAATATTTTCGTACATAGACGATTATCTAATCTGCTCTCGGTCAAGCGAGCAGGCAGTCAGCGACTCCCTGGCAGTGATCAACCACCTCATCAACCTCGGGTTCAGGATAAATCAAGCCAAAAGTCGCCTGACTCCCGTGCAATGCACGGAGTATTTGGGTCTCAAAATAAACTCCCTCTCTTATCGTGTCACACTATCAGAGGGGAGAATCCTGTCATTCACCCAGTGCATGACGCGTTTTCAGTTGGGAAACGTCGTTACATTCAGACTGTGCCTGCGGCTCCTCGGCCTTATGGCATCCGTGATTTCAGTGGTCCATCTGGGGCTTCTGATGATGAGGGACTTTCAGCGGTGGGTCGCCTCGCTGCGACTCTGTCCCCGCCGTCATCTGTGCCGCAGAGTAAAAGTGACACAGACATGCGTGGCGGCTCTTCAGCCCTGGAGAGACCCGACGGTTCTCACGTCGGGCGTCCCGCTGGGGACCGTAGCATCCAGGGTTACCATGACAACCGATGCTTCCCTGACAGGTTGGGGCGCAACTATGATGGGCAGAGCGGTGAATGGCATATGGTCGCCGAGAATGAGGCGGCTTCACATCAACATGCTGGAACTGCACGCAGTGTTCCTAGCTCTGAAGCAC